GAGGGGAGGGTGAGTCATCATTTTCGGGTTTTAATCCTTCACTCCTCCTCTGTTTTGGGCTTTGTTATTAGCAGTAGCTCTTATTCACTTTGAGCAGGGCCAAGACAGCAAACAAGTCCCCTGAATTTGAAAGCCAAACAATTCCAACCCCTAATTCAGCCGTGCACGCCTCCTCTGGGCTGTTCAATCCCCCCAGACCCCTTTTTGTAGCCGAGGCTTTTCCCTCCTTTAAGTGCCAAGCCGTGGATGGCCTTTGGCTGGGGTTTTGTCTGTTCCCACCTGCTCCTGCAAGAGGGAGAACAGACCGGGAGGGAGTGACGCCATCCTTCAGTTTCGTGCCGTATTGAGGGCTGGGCATTGCCAGGCTGAAGGGAGCAAGCGGGTTACAAAACCTGTTTGCAGAGACAAAGCCAGGCACTCCAACACCACCACCGCTCCGGCTGGAACGCCGCTTGGGAACAAGTCGCGCTGCATACTGAAGGGGGGACAGCACTTGTTCAAAATCCCTTCTCCTTTTCAGTTGCTGCTTAACGGGGCAGCAAAAAATTTGTCCTCCAGCCCAATTATACCACTCTGCTGACGCCGTAACAAGAGGAGAAAGAGCCATGACAGAAATAACAAGGTAAGCTGCATCTCTAATGGAAGCAACAGTAAGAGGTAGAAAAATTAACTGCCATAACACACCGTTTTTCTTCCCACTTCAAGCACCCTCTCTCCCACTCTAAACACTCCTTCTATACACACCTGCTCACAAAAACAAAAACATCTCTAAAGACTGACCCTCCCAAGCCTGTGTATACCTCGTACCTTTTGCAGCTCCACCAAGAAACAACCCTTTGCCTTAAGCTCTAGGAGCTGGGCAGGAGCCCGAGTCCAGCCTGGGAACTGACAGCATTAGAGTCCCAGCCCTAGACTTTTTAGGGATGTTTAAGTCTGGAAAAAGCCTTAAGTGTGGATGCCTCAGGTTCAGCTGCCATACCCACATTTCTGTACCAAAATACTTGCACTCTGTTTCGAAAGTGTGAATCGTCTCAAGCTCCAAGTATAATTTAGGACAACTAAGAATATGCAGAAACCTCTGAGAATTAGACTGGTTATTTCAGTAAATTAACTAGGTAGCAACTCTGAAAATGCTGATGTTAGACAGTACTTTAGCTTCCTGGGCTATAAATGGATATAATTTTTACTTACCTGACAGGTGTGTCATGAGAATTAGCTAATATTGACACTTTGATCTTTAAAATGCTTTGCCAAGTATTAATTAAGGAAGGATCACTTTGCATTTAAAATAGCTAGTATTTTGAAGCTGAGTTTGTCTCCATTCCTCCTAAAGTGGTAAAGAATCTCTGTTTGTTTTTCTACATATTCCCCAGGAGATTATTTCAGAGAAATACAAGAAAGGAAGACTGACACGCTGATCTATGTTTCAAGGAAGATGATAGATACCTCTAAATAACAGCTAAGTTTTGTTGCAAGAATCTTCTCCTGTGGGTCTTGCAGCTAGATCCATAAGCTTAGGTGAAATGCTATTGAATGTAGGGAGAAAGGACACCCTTAACCCCCAACAAACCACCTTTTTATAACCAACCTGCTAGTATTTTTTACAAGGCAGGTCTCGAAGTGAAGTATGAGAAGTTCCTAACACAAAGATGAGGAGCCAAGGCTTGTCTGCGGAGCTTGTCTCTCTCCCAGCCACTCCATGCTCCATAATAAAGGCAGGACTTCCTGGGCACCCTTGTCGCAAAGATCTAAGAGCAAAGGCATGACATTTGGCCTTTACATGGCCCGGTGAATATAAAGCCAGATTAGAGGGAAATAAAAGGATGTACTTGATAGCATATGGGAAAACAGCAGCATAAGTCTCCAAATAAGCTGCTCTGAGCACCCCAGAGAGATCATTATGCAGGGCTTTCCTGTGGTTGCTACTGCTGGTGGTTACAGCCTGACCCGGTGTCACAGGCTACTCGTGCTGGTAGTGTGGAGACATCATCTCTCCTGGAGCCACGGCATTTTCCTTACTGTCAGCCAGGCAACACAGGGCCAAAGGGAAAGGAAAAAAGACAAGACACAGGTAGTGGAACAGATGCCAGAAAGCACACGCACAAAGAGAGATGCAACACCTGTGTAGGTCCTCCCCGCACCCCCCCAGCAAAAGCCCTTTAGGGTCTCAAGGTGATGACAGCAGAAAGTCTGTGACAGTATTTTGCAAAGCCCACGTCTCATTCTCACCCACTGCCCAAGACACAGAAGATGCTGAACAAATGTTACCCCATGCTTCAGTGACTTAAGTCCTATGGATGAAAAGATGAGTCTTAGAGGTGACTCTGGGGACTCAAGTCTGATGGACTGTCATATCTAGAAAATACCAAAACTAAAGTTTCTTATGCAAATCCTTCACGATAGTCTCTATGATGGGGGACTTTTTCCCCTGCTCCCCTGTCTCATTTCATGCACAGCATAGACATTACTTAATGAACTAGCAACTCTTCAATATTTATTTTTCTCCTCATTATCCAGTGTGGCTCTATGCCTTATTTACCATGCTATCCAAATGCTGCTGAGAATTATTTATAGCACTCATGATATAGGAGCCAAGTTCTTATAAACTACAATTAATTTTACAATACCCAGCTGGATCCTGCAACTAAGGTGGATGTTTTGGGGATGGGCACTGTTTTTGAGCAACCACTTTATAATCCTAGAAGTATAAAAAGCATGTCTGTAGACTTTCCAGAAAAAGCCTGCCTACCAGCAAGCAGAGCTTAGTGACAGCACATGACATGACGTGGTCCTCACCCTTCACAAGGGTGTTTGAACCAGGCTATTTACAGTGCCAGAGCACAAATTTAACATAAGAAATACTGTTGAAAACAGTGAACAAAACTCTCAGTGCTACATTAAGAACGTGTCCCAGGGATGTCAGATTACAAGATGTGCAGTGAGAACCTAATTTTGGTATCTAATTAGGGCTGGGTGCTTTTTTCCCTTGCCCTGTGCACTTTCCTGCCTGTGCTGTACTTGATGGTGCCTGCTCCTGGTTCCCTAAGGTACACTCTCCCATTCCTTCACCTTGCAGTCACTGCCTCCAGATTATTTTGATATATCATCAGTATAATGCAGTACAATTAGCAGTTTATCATCCCCTCCAGTACATTTCACATTTTTCCCAGCCTTTCCCTATTATTTAAGAGGAAAAAATGCCCCCTTGCTCTCCCCATCTTCTCCCTCTTCTTCACCAGGCAAAGAAACACAGCAAACCAACGTTTTTCTGGATTCCTCCAGCACCCCACCTTTGGCTTTCAGCTCTATGAAAGGTCAGTCCAGAAGTTTGTTGGAAGAGAATGAGGAAGAGGAAGTTTCTGCAAGTTTATTCTACTTTCTGGCTTTGTGGGTAACCAAAGCCAAAATCCTACCAGCTATCCTACCAAACCAAAGTTGAAGATTGAGTTGATGAGTATAATTTGAAAGTAACTCAAGAAAAACTTTTACATGTACAAACTTCTCACACACAGATGGAATTTTTCAAGAAATGCCACTGGCATGAACGAGCTGACTCAAGACATACTTTTAGGACCCTGGAGCAACTAAAGTGACTAGTCCCAGTAAAGGCCTTCAAACTTCATTTGTTTTGTTCAATACACACCGGAAAGTCCTAAGGATTTGATTTTATATCTTATAAGCCTACACAGGTTTCAGACTGGGCCAGACACCAGTAATGTAGAGAGTCAATGCACAGCCTAGCCTGTAAATCTTTAGCTTAGGTACAATGTTGTCAAATCTGAGGATCTTCATTTCAAGCAAGCCCATATCACTAGACAACTCTATATAAACCAGACAGCATTTCACAGTGTCTCTGCAGTAACTCACCAATTCAGTGCTATTGGTCAGTTAGTGATTTTAGAAGACAAGTTTATAAAAGCCCAAAGGCTAAAATTAAAAGTGTCCCAGCATTTTAGACATTTAAGACAGGATCACTGTCCTATTTGACATTTAAGTCATGAATTTTGTGGTTTATCCAGCATTTGGAAAGGCTTAGTTGACTGCTTCCAAACTCATCAGGCAGGCCCTGGGAAATGGAAGGTGAGATCGTGGGAAAAATGCAATATGAAAAAATACTGGAACGAATCTGTGGCAGCTACAAGTTCATGACTGTCACTGCCCTGCACACCAGAGCCACTCAAAGCCTCCTGGGGTATGACTTGCAGAGCCATGGCTTTGCTTCACACACAAATATGTACGTACATATACACATGCGCATGCACAAAGTTAGGGAGTTCATATTACTATGAAATAGAGCTAGTGAAAGCAATTACTTTAAGAAAAATAATGGGGTATTCACCAGCAAAGTAACAGTTTCAAGAGTGTCTAGAAAATGAACCAAAGCTCTTATTGTTAGAGAACTATTGACTCCAGGTTTGAAAAAGTGACCTCAAGTGAGCAATGATGCACTTAGCCTGGAACTTGCAGCCACTGTATTTCACTCTAAATTGAATTGCCAATCCACAGTGCAATCTTCTTCTACTATAAACTCACATCTTTGGGGCAAATATACAGAAAAATACTGTATACTGGTTGCATTATTCCAAGTGAGACTAAATTCCTCTGGAAATGGAAAATATGTCCCCATTACAGAATTTAAGGATCCCCATGGGTATTTATACAGGGATAGTGGTGGGGTTTTTTTTCTTTTTAAGGGCACTTAGTGACAACTTCATGCTGACACTTTTCCTGCGAACAGTTCATAAGCATGCAAATAACTAAAAACACGTGGCCCCACTAAAAGCATTTAGGTACTTAAAGCCTACAGACCCATACTGAAAACCACGTAATAGACATTTTACACCTCACACACATACGCACAATGATCAGATCCAGCATCCTCCCCATACTAAAAGTGGTCTTTTTGCTAAATTAGGCTGCCAATTTAGTATGATTTATAGTATCAACAATGTCAATGGTTTGCAAACATAAATAATAGACACATGCTGTGAAATACTTACATTCACTTTTCCACTAAGTCTTCTTCACTACAATCAAGTTATTTTCCAGGACAGTGTTTAATCTTCTTTCTAAATAAAAGAAGGCAGCAATTAAAAAATATATTCTTATACATTAAGCTATGCTTAATCACCTTAAATTTATGAACTTTAAAATATTGATTTAAGATCGTCTATAGTGTCCCATAAGCTTGTAATTTGTTTATATATAGTCAATTTTATTACATTTTAAACACAACTTTAGCACACCATAACTTTCAATCCTGAGGCTAAATGGGGCAATGTTCTGTATTTCAATAGCTGCTCAGATAATAAATCAGATGGACAGTTGCTCACAGATGTACAACTAATTACTGAAGCACTGAGAGCTCAACTGATATATTACCAGAAAGAATGCCTGGCATTACAGATGGGGTATTGTATGATTTGGCACTCCTCTAGCTAGAGCTTGAACACGCTCTTATCAATGGCAGTACTCAGCACCTCCCACGATCAAACATTTAAGAATGGAAGAGAAACAGTGCCTGCCCCTCTAGGGAAGGATAAAATACCATCTGATATTGTTTAACGTCACTGTATATGCCAAAAAGTGATAAAAAAGGGTTCATGTACATTGTTCAACATGACCGTGAGAATGACAACTGTCCTCGAAAAGATACCCCTGTCAATAGACGCAGTGAGCGCTGAATGCCACGGCCTGGTTCTTACACACAGTCATTTCTCAGTCACTTTTTAGGAAAGCATGCGATGCCCACTCAACCAGTTTGCAGCCAATGCCGACACACGCACTAAAAGATCACCGCTTGACAGTTCCCAGGTAAAAGAGACCCCAACACCCAGCAAAATCCACCACCTTTTCTGCAAAACTGTCTCATCTCAGCTGAACCTGGCTTTGAAGACTTGCGTAACACTGGCTCCCCAGGGAGGTAAGACACAAACATCAGCAGAGATTTTATTTCCCCTTTGTGTTCCTTGAGGCTGCCCAGTGCTAAACCAAGTTTATTTTGTTAATGTTTGATGGGATTTAATTTCTTGTTTGCATTCCCTATATCTAGTTGCTGTGGTAACGTATTCTTTAAGGCCAAGTACATTCATCTCTTCCCAGGGAAAAGCTGTTTGAGGGAACCTGCACCCTCACCGGGTGGAGTATGACCATGGATACTCAGCAAAATCATGAGATAAGGGACAGGGGAGAAGAGCTAGGTGAGATATTTAGACCACAGCTGCATTTTATGGCCTAACTGGAGAGTGTAGGCTGGGACTGGGACCGAGGGAAGCCGTAGGAGGTATGTATAAGCAACACAGCCAACTCAAGAGACAGACAGACAAAAATTTTAGACTTTAGGACCAAGGGAAAGGGCACATTTCTTTCTATTTATTACCAACAAAGGGAAAAACAGATCTGGTGCAACTTAAGCATATAAAGGAAAAGGAAATGCAGAAGTAAAAGGAAGGGCAGAGGTATGTGGAAGAGCATGATACTGTCAACAACAGCCAAGGAGGAAGGAGGTGGAGGTAGTCAGCAAGGAAACAAGACTCCATCCTGCTGCGGAGTTCCCTTTATACATCCATGTTGCCTCTTTCCTTTAGAGCGTTTTTGCAAGCACTGCCGAACGGTGATTTGGGCACATCTTGCACAGTTGTTTCACATCTCAACTTTGCAGAAGCAACAACCGAAGTGCACGGAAATTAGTATTTGGCTGAGCCTGGAAAAGGAACTGAATGCTGTCAGCACTGACTGTTGTGTCCAGCCAGTTATATCCCCGGTAATAAAGGTATGACCCTCCTAATAACATCAGAAATCGGGAAAACAGGTTCAAATGTAACCCAGCAACTGGCAGAGTCATGAGATCACTTATGTGTCAGTTGTCACATGGGTACACCAGGCATTTTAGTCTGTAGTTGGTATCAGCTGTGCCAGAGAATGATGCCACCAAACTGTACTCAATTTTCTGTTTTACAAAATAGGAAGCATTTTTCATAAGAGGCTTGGGACACGAGCCAGAAATCTCACTCACTGTCTCCCTATTTATTCAGACTGAGTCATCAGATTTTCCAGGTTTCTCCACTCAAATGGCACATTGCTTTGGCTAGGTTTAGATGGACACAGGTGGTACCATCTGCCGCAAAGCTTCCTGGTTTTGTTTGCTTTTGTTTTCTCCTTTTACCTCCTGCTCGTAGCACAACAGCTCTTTTTCTGTGTCTTACACTGGAACACCATGAGGAATTGGTCTTTCATGGTATGGGTTTGACCAGCTGGCCAGTCAAAATGGGCTGCTTGAACTAAAGGAACTAAAAAACACATTGCTATCACAGGTCTTCTGACAGCCGGAGGCCCTTGCAGACTGACCTGAAGTTAAAGGTATTTAGATGACAATAGGGAATTTGTTCTTCAAAGCTGACAGAAACCATGAGCACAAACAGAGCAAGTGGGTAGGGGGCTGCTCACACAAGCTAATTTCAGTCTAACAAGGTTATCTTTCTGTTCTCTCTCCACTGGCTTGACAGAAAGGGTCCTGCTATGGATCCTCACCGCTTCATGGTATTTCTCCTTATCTGCCAGGCCCTTTTTCCAAAGATTATAAGCCTTCTTTTTGTTCCTGAGTTCCAGCCGAAGCTCTCTATTTAGCCAGGCTGGTCTTCTTCCCTTCCTGCTTGATTTTAGGGACTTGGGAATAGCTTTATCTTGCGCCTTTAAGAGTGCCTCCTTGAAGAATGACCAGCTTTCCTGGGCACCCTTGCCCTCGAGGACCATCTCCCAAGGGACACCCCCAATCATGCTCCTGAAGAGGCCAAAGTCTGCCCTTCGGAAGTCCAGGGTGGCAGTCCTGCTGGCCCCCCGCCTTGCTTCAGTGAGAATTGAAAAATTTATCATTTCATGATCACTTTGTCCAAGACGGCCTCCAACGTTTACATCCCCCCCACAAGACCTTCCGAGTTAACTATCAGCAGGTCCAGTAGGGCACTTTCCCTGGTCGGTTCCCTCACCAGCTGCGTTAGGAAGTTGTCTTCCACGCATTCCCTGAGCTGCTTTTCAGAGGAGACTTCCTCTCATCTCCATAGCCCTCAGAGGACAGCAGGGAGATTACTGCCATGAGACTACATTTAGCTCTTATCCTTTCCCACCCCAGTCTGAATGCTAACTGCTCCTGCTTTTCACATGGGACAATTTCTGCCTTACAAATTGAAATAATCCTTTAGGAAGTAAGGACAAAGACCACCACGGACGTGTCATGCAGTTAAGACCATCAGGACAGGTCAATAACCCAGCAGAGACAGGACAACTGTAAATAACCTCCCCGTCCTGCAAGCACCCCCTTCCTCAGCAGGCAGCTGTGCCTCTGTATTTAGGGTGAATGTCTCAGATACCATAATTCCAAAAAGACGATAAACTCAGGCTGATCGGTTGTGTCCAAGTATAAATGTTTGCAAGTGGATAACACACTGCCCCGATGCTGCGGCTGCCGGGAAAATTGTGGCTTCCAAAAGCTGGAAGGAACAAAGCGTGGCACTTGCCCTTCCGTGCCTGAAGCCCGCGCTGCTAGGAGTAGGAGTAAGAACATATTGACGGCTTTTTTTTTTTTTTCTGTTTGCTTCTAGAGCTAAAAACAGATCATAAACCACATTTCTTTGAGGGAGGCTTTTGTTTGTTTGTTAGAAAGGGCAAGCAGTGGGTCAGGGATAGAAAGTTGTACTATCCGGTTCCCAGACACAGACCCTATTCCCCCGAGCCTTGAGCTATATGGAACACATGGAGCAGATACTCTTCATATAGGCTTGTATACACCCATGGAACTGTTATTTGGCTGCTGAGCTAACAAGCATGGTGCACTTGATAGGAAGGAGCATGTAGGATAACACCATGTACTGCTTTCTCGAGCTTAATTTTGAAAACGGATCTTCACATTTCAGTGCTGGGAAGGCTACGTTACAACACTGAGATCATGTCCATATGGAAACAGGATACAGAATTTACTATTAAAAACTTCAGAGTGATATCAAATGTCAGCTTAAGACTCCAAACATTGCAGGGTATTTACATCTCTAATTAACTCTATTTCACACTTGTACATTCCAATATCTGGCCAATGCTATATCTTCCCTCACCTTCAGCTTGGCCAATGCTATATCTTCCCTCACCTTCAGCTCTCCAACATATGGCGCCCTTGGTCATCTCCACTCTGCCCTCTCTACCTCCTCGACCTCAGAGACACCCACTCCACTTCTAGCACATGAACTCCAAGGTTTTATTACTGACTTCTTCTTTGTCTCTTCTGCTTGGCTATCTCGGGCTTAGTGTCTTCCTTGTGTTGAAGCTGCTCAACAAACCTCTACCTTCAATACACTGAAATCTGATACTGCTTAAACTCTTTCTTTTGGTTTCCAGTCAAACTCACATACTTTTGACCTCAATTTTATGCATTATGAAAAGACTTTGACCAACTCTGTGCAAAAATTAACAGAATATTAAAATAATAATGGAAGTGTTTAATATTGCTGGATAAACCTCAAAGGAACAACCACTTTCACTCAGGCCTTTCATTTTGCTGTTCCTGTAGTCTGTGGGGCAAAAAGAACAAAAAAATAAAAAAAAAAAGAAAGAAAAGAAAAAGGAAAAAAAACCACGTATGCTGGAGCTTTTTGTTCTTTAAATTTAAGCATGTCAGACCAAAATCTGAGTTTTACAGATACGCTATAAGAAAGAAGACTGCATAACCCCAAACTGAAACCCTGTAATTTGTGCTCCATTACTCTTTCTGAATAACCTCCACTTTAGTCTAAGGAGACTAAATATCTTATGTCTTTATAGAATCTTCCAGAGACATTTCTTAACTACAGAATTAAACACACTAACCCCAAACTACTTCTTTCTCTGCTGTCCCTTGTGACCAGTCTAAAAATCCCAACTACTCTTTCAACAGTATTTCACTGCAAAGATCAAACGGAAGAACGCTACCCCCTGGTAGCTTTGCAAGAATAAGGATACCAAGAAATCATATCCATAAGTTTTCAGCGTTTGCAGAAAAAAGCTATTTTGGAAAGATCCTCAACTATGAGGCATAAACATTCTA